ACACACATACATATATATATATATATATATATACATACACATTTATAAATTCAATATATATATTCTTTCATTTCCATTTAGTTTGTTGAAGTATTAATATAACTCCAATTAAATAAAACTAAAAACTTAATAAAAGAGCTATACAGACATAATAAATTCAGACATAATTTAACTAAAATTAAAATAAATAACAAACACAAATAATACAAATCAAACTACAGTAGTTTATCAGTAATCCTAAAAAATAACACTGGCAAACACACATGCTAAAAAACAACAACTTACTGACACATAGTAAGAAATGGTTATAAAAACTGAAACAGAAGCGAAACAAGTAATAGGAAAGAGGAGAAATAAAAAGCAATACTTATTTAATGTTTTAATGTTTATAAATATATTACAAATTCTGCATAATTTAAAATATAGCATTTTATAATATATTTTAAATGTTAACATAAATACTGTATGTATATATACATACTGTACATATATATATATATATATATACACACACACACACATACAAATAGCTCCCCATGTGTTAGCTTCAAAATTTAAAGGGTACATTTTCTAAAAAAAAAAAATAATTAATGTACAATGTGCATTAATTGCATTTTATTAATCGTACATAAATCTAATTTCAGGTCATTTAATTATATCACATATTAAAATGTATCATAATGATGAGAATTAAGACATATAATTCTAATTATATTTTAAGACTTATAAAGACAACACAATATGAATGTATCTAGGCCAGGACATGGAAGCATGTTCACCTTGCAGATGGTCTTGGCGGTTTTGAAGATACTCCGCTAGTGTGTTGAGCTCCTCTGGGTACAGGTGCAAACCTTCAGCCAGGAGAAAGAGCAGGTGGCGGGTGGCAGAGGGAACAGTGTGGCGCTCCAGCTTGCTGCGCTCCAGGTAGTCCTCCGTTAGCTCAGCCGCCCGTGCCGCAGCCTCTGTGGGGTCCAGCACCCGCCGTGAACCACTCAAGCGCCTGAACTCCACCAACACAAACTCCATGGCCTGTTCTTTGGGCATATTTCGATGAACTGTGGAGAGGCAGAGGAAGGGTCAGCCAGAGGAGGGAAGGGGGTTACATATGGTGCTCAGTGTGAGCCACTGCAGCCTAAGCAGTGTGCACAAGAGTTCTACCTCATCAGCAACACACTGCAGTCTGGCAACCACTGCTTTACCCAATTACCACATTAAAACTCAGTATGCACTCAAAAGACACATTCATGAGCACGCTTGAAAGTTGGCAGAAGGAACATTTAACAGAGTAGAAGTTTATATAAGATTGCTTTTAAAGTTTTTTTTTTTTTTTTACACATTTTAATATGAGGAAGGAATTGTGCATGAGATAATTGTTTTATACTTCCATATGAATTCACTTTTGACGTATGACATTGCGCAATAGCAAATTCGTACATTCCGAAAATGTACCTGTTAATTTAACGTTTAAAAAGGACTTACGTTTTTGCATAAGTTTGTTTTGTTTGTCTGTTTGTTTGTTTTTTAGACTTGAAAGTCTAGTAGTGTGTGATCCTCAGTTGTTTAGTGTGTGTTCAGTTTTTCTGTGAATCCATTAACAAAATCGGAACGTGTATGATGCCTAGTGTTTTAAAAAGTGTATTCCAGCTTTAAGAGAACTTACCAGCAAGGTGAGGTTTTATAGGAATAAAAGCTTTAGGAATTATATTAAACATCTGAACTAGTATAATATTTAAGTATTTTTTTAATTAAGTGGTGGGCATTCATTAAAATAATGGATTTTAAGAAAAAAGAAATTAAAGCAGGTCTGTTGTTGAGGGCATTTAATCTATTTTAATGTGATGCTGAGGGTCAAATCCACCATCTTTTAGATGTTGTTTTTTTGTTTTTATTTTGGATTTTGTGTCTTGCACTACATGGATTCATTTTTGCTTAGCTTTAATGGTGCAAACATTTAAAAAAATGTAGATTGGTAAAACATTTGTACCCAAATCTATTATAATAATGTCATTTTTTTTCCGTAAAGAAAGTATGCCTAATTTATTCTGACCACTCAAAACTGTTGATGTTTACGAAAAAAAGTGTAAAACAATCAAACAAAATTGTTGCAAAATTACAAGCTATTATACGGTTTAATTTAGAGGCATGTGAATTTTGAGAATTTTGGGTCCACAACGCAGTAAAAAAAAAAAAAATAAAAAAAAAAAATAACTTTTTTAATTTTTTTGTAAATGTTAGTAAATAGATCCCAGAAACCATGTTTCTACACAAAGATAAAGGTTGCATGCTTGCAATCCTACATTGAGATTGCATTGATGTTTTTGCAGTTAATATAAATTAATTCTCTTTTTAGACTGTTCTGAAAGTTTCTGCAAATTGAGGAAAACATAAATGCATGTCTTTTGGTGCAATCACAGAATACTAGTTAAAGGGGTCATATGATGCAATTTCAATTTTTCCTTTCCCTTTGGAGTGTTACAAGCTCTTGGTGCATAAAGAAGATCTGTAAAGTTGCAAAGACTAAAGTCTCAAATCCAAAGAGATATTCTTTATAAAAGTTAAGAGTCAACCATTTCCGTCACACGCTTGAGGTATCCAGCCAATCACAATGCACTGGATAGCTGGCCAATCGGAGCACACCTTGCTTTTTAGACCGATGAGCTTTGTAAAAATCGACGCGTTTCAAAAAGGCGGGGCTTAGAGGAGAAACAATAATGTACAGTATGTGGGAAATAATGTGTTTTTTGAACCTTAAACCGCATAAACACATTTCATTACACCAAATACACAAAATAATGTTATTTTTAGCAACATCATATGACCCCTTTAAGGTTTTGTTCATTATATGACCAAGAGTGTAAGAGTGCCCACCACCAAGTCAAGGTTGTTTAAGGTTATTTAACTATTGTTCAAAATTTGTAAATTTAAACTGTTTTTTTGGGGGGGAGATAGATTGTGGGAGTCGGAACTTACTTTTGAGGGACTCTGAAAATATGATTACTGTGCACGAGGAGAGTGTTACATTAGTCTGCTCGACGAGAATACATAAGGGGGAACCGTCGGAGCGGACATCTTGGAGGGCCCGCGTCAGGCCTGATTCCACCTGCAGGTAAAGCATTTCCACCGAGAGGCCACGTTCCTGCAAACACTGGCCTATCGATTTGGGGTAATCCCTTTGAAAGAAGAAGAAGAGATCTGGTTATTGAGCACCATGTTTCAGGGCATGAGGTGAGGGTGCTAGGTGTGGCCTCGCTTGTATATGCAGTAATGAAAGGGTAAAGTTTTAATACAATTTAATAGTGTATAGATATTATAAAAAACATATATAAATGTTTTACCAAAAACTTTGTAAATTAAAACATTGTAAAATGGATCTTAATAAAATGTGAAACACTTCTATCAACACATTTATGACAAGATCTATTAATTGGATGACAAAAATGGGACTGTCTGTTTTGCTTGTCATATTCATTGTGTATTAATAAAAACAGAAGTATGATTTTCCGGTCAATGTATATTGTTTCCGGTCAATGTCATTTCTAAATTGCATTCACGGTTTTGATAATAGCATTGTTTGTGTTTTTCATATTTTATAGATTGTGTTTTTGTTTCATTTTGTTTCATTTAAAAATATGGCTTTGATTATTGAACATTTTGACTATCACCACTTCTTAAAGAAGCTCATATATTTGGCTAAATAAACAAGGAATGTGATTACAATGTCAGTTTTTTAAATATGAAGATTTCTGGACACATTTATTCTTTCAATTAAAGTTTTTGTAGGAGGATGAAAATATACAGAATACCAATAAATCAGTCATGTGTGGGAAAAAAAAAAAAAAAAAAAAAAAAAAAAAAAATCAAATTCAACTTATAACTTAGAAAAACACTCTTTTATGCTTGAGACCTAACTAATTTTGAAAATGTGTATTCATCATTTCTGGAAACATTTAAAATGTCTTTTTTTATTATTTCTCTGTTTTTAGATATGTGGAATAGAAATATTTGATCAATTATAAAAATTAAACGAAAATGTTTACATTTAAACTTTAGATCATTAGAGGCCTGCCCTAATAAGCATACTCTTACCATGCTTTTTAGGGCAGACCTCTAAGACCCCCATGTTGAATGCAACATATGACGCAGTAATAAAATGATGCAAGGTTAGAATAAAAAATTCTTTAAGCAAGGCCACAGGTCGTAAACATCGGTGGTTGATTTTCTGGATAAATATAATTTATACAACATACATATTGACTTTTACAATATGTAATATTATTTTTTTTTTATATATTTTTTTTATTAAATTCAATACTATATTTTGAATTTAGCCATTACATTCAAAGATTCATTTTAACAGTCATTGATGGATGTAACATGTTCAGTGTTTTTGTTATTTTTGGATTAGCAGTGTAAAATGGAAATATTAGTGAATTTAAATTACTAATTTATAAAGGTTATAAAGAGACTGATAGCCAAATGTAAAGAATAAGAGCATTCCGGAGACTTTTGTTTAATAGTGGACACATTTTTGCAAATTATGAACATTTAGAATACTGGACGTTTGTTGTTGTTGTTCTTTTACTTGAAGGCACATTTAATTCCTTTTAAAGTTTTTGGATGATTTATAATAATAAAATATCCATCAGAATTTTTTTTTTATTAACCATCAAGGATGATTCTGGATACATACGGATTCCGAATCTTAAACCTGACGAATCCCATCAGTCTAACATTTAGCAATAATGAAGCACATTCACACAACAGAGAATTTTTTAGAAAACTAACAGCATCACACAAAATGTAAGTAAATGAGTCCCATAATTTCACTATGTGCAAACTCAGGAAAAAAGTCTGCAAATTGCATTTCTATTTAAAACAGAAAGCAAGTTTCACACAATAAAAACATTTAATGCAACAGAATTTTACTGCTACCTGCAGTAAATACTCACACATTCTGGTTGTTCACCGACAGGACTACACAGTCTGCAGGCTGTCTAGCACCATCTCCATGTAGCTGCTGGAAGAACCTCTCGTATATGGCACTGCGCTGAACTGATGCCTCATATTCTTCAGGTGAAACAGCTGTTACAAACACATTTACATGACAAAGTTGCTAAAAGAAATTTCTCATAATGGCCACAACAGCAGCAGTGAGAACCCAAGTTGTTTATTACACAAAAAATCATACCAGTTGACTGATGTGGTGAATGCTCATAGTCTTCAGTGCCAGAGTAGTCAATCCCTTCACCTAAGCTTTCAAAGCTGAAAAATGAAGGAAGATTGGAGGGGAAAGGTGTTTAGATTAATAATAGTTCACTACCAAAGAAGAAGAAGAGAGAAACAGGTATGTGAAAACTAGAGATTTAAAGCTAGAAAAAAATCAGTGATATTGCACTTTAAAAAAATAAACACTCTTCTCTTTTGTCATATTCAAGGTACCTCTCAGATTCTGGATGATCATCTTTTCTATCCTCCCTCATAGGATATGGTGTTCTTCGAAAAGATCTGGGAGATTTTGAGACACTGCATGGAGTAAATCAACATGATTAAAGGGTCATGAAACCCCAGACTACTTTTTCTGAGATTTTAGCAGATGTGTTTGTGTTGCACATCATATAAGACAATGTTAGCATCTAATAATCTTAACTATAGGAGAAAACTGGTTAATTTTAAGCTTTTTTGCGCTATTTTCATCTTCCGGGTTTAAAATTTACATAGATTATAGTTCATTGATGACGCCTCGGTGTCTATTAAATTATTCATGAGACTGTGTGTTCTTATCCTATGAGAAGACGCTTCGCTTAATTATTCACAACAGCATGTGCTGATTTGCTATGACAGACGCTTCAGACTGTGAGATCGTACATTATCTGAGAGAAACGTACATGAATCAAAGGAGCGTGTTTTTTTTGTTTTTGGTTATAAGAGTTCGGCACAAACGCGATTCATTTAGTGAGTATAACCGTTTTTACAGCTTCATGACACAACCCGTCAAAAGGTTTATATAATCGCCGCAGAATAAGCCTTAAAAAGTTACCAGAGGTGCAACAGCACGTTCATGTATGTCTTCAATACAGAGTGCAAATGGCTGTGCATTTATTTGTGTTTTTAACTCGATGGGAGTGAAATTAAACTGTCTGAACGCGAAGCTGTGTGTGTTGTCGGTCTCCCCTCTTTCCCCTCCGCTAGCAGCACACCACGCCCACTTTTTTAGCATTTTTTAAAACTGTGAATGAAATAACCAGTGCTGAAACAGGGGGTTTCATGACCCTTTAAGATAAGCATAACATCATAAATGTAAAACGTAGGCTGTGTTAAACTCTAGAGTTGCCTAGCAAGACAGGACTTGAAAGCGTCATATTAATTCTTCAAATGTTCCAAACATATTTAAGCAGTAGCTCAGTCTTTTGAAACGCAGCCACTATTCAGATGTGTCACATAACGTTACCTTCCTCCACTATGTGTTGGTGGTGGTCGTCTGCCCCCATCATTCTTCGACCACGACGACATTTGTTTTCTTCTAAATGAACGGCATAACAAACAGTCTTTTAATATCGCAGGACACACGACAATCAAGTTTTGGTTGCCCAGCAAACCCTGCATGTACGCAACCATTATTTTAAAAAAAACTAGTTAAAACGATGTTTAATATCTGCGACATTTGTCAAATTATTGTTATGAAAACACTAAACCTGATGTGAAGCCCATCATACCTGCGTAGATATTCAGTTATATTCCCGCTGCTCTGTGAATCGCGATAAACTGATGAATTTGCTCATACGTTATTTCATCTCTGACGAGATCAGTACATACTAAGATAAAAATGGATAATAGAGATTAATCCGAGTTACTGTTTACGGCAAAAGACCTGCTACACGCTCGACCCGACTTCCTGAACAAGAGTAGTTGAGGAAGCGTATGGCGCCTCCTAACGGACAGGCAGACAAACGACAACACCAGTGACGTCACTACCCAGCCTCCTCAGTCTGAGGCTTCTGAGATTTTAAAAGATTTTCAATGATTCCCAAATCTGCTATTTTTAAGCGAATCCCAATGCCTGTTTTGTAATCAACCTAATTCTCTTATGTAGATTTTATATTTACAAATGTAAATTTTCAAATTGTAAACCTATTTTTGTAGTATTTTTACAAGAGATAAACAATTATTTACTTACAATTTCAGTTTAGATGAACAAGAAAGCACTCAGAGCCTGTACAATTTGCACGGCCAACACATTTATCATTTTATCAATTTATCATTCTGTATAATGCCCTCTTCTTTCTCTTTACTTTATTATTTATTATGTTTCTATTTTGAGCTATTGTATTGGTTGTTCATGTTTTCTTTTTTTCTCTCTATTGCTGTTATTTGTAATTATTGTGTTCTAATTTTGTTGTACCATAATGTAAACTGAATGTTCAAATAAAGCATAAAAAAGGCTCCTGAGAGTTTAAAACCAACACATCAAATATGAGTCACCAATATATATTGTTGTATATATTGTTCCCCATTTATATCTGCCTCAGAGTGGGAAAAAACCTTTATTCTTTTTGTGAAGCTGAAAGTCACAATTTTGAGATATTAAGCTTCAATTACAAGATCTATATCACAAAATTGTAATTTTATATTCTGTAACTGCAACTTTATCTCATAATTGCGGCTTTTAAGTCTTAATTAGGATGTACAAAAAAAGTCAGCATTACCTTTTTATTTTTGCGCTCTTGAGATTATATGAAGATGTTAGTCTCAAATTGTTATGAGAGCATGCTATGGATTATGAGGCATTTTTGATCACTATAGTTCACATTTTGGTCTTGGGCGCATTTGGATTTTGGAATTCATGCAAATCACAGATGAAAGGAGTAAATAATGTCAGGTAACAAAGCCTGTGCAACACATAAAACAGACATTTATTACAAACATCACAATTCAGAAAATGAAAGATTCTTAATTCAATCATACTCTCTTATCTTTGGGAGCGTTGGAGATTTCAGTCTCTGTAACTGCTTCAGACAGTTCACATTTAGCGACAGCAGCATTAGGACACTGATATGTGCATTAACCATGGCATTAAACACATGAAATTTCCCCAAACCTCATTTAAGGGATGCCCTGCAGTCTGATTGAATCAATTCTCACTCAATTCTGTCATTTTACCTAATGTAATTTGGCTTCATTTATTTCTAAATGGACTTTGCATCATACATCAATATAAAGTACTATTTAAAAATCACAGTGTCTTGATTCATCAAGACGTTTTGCAATCATATTCAGAATGTGGGGTAATCAACCCCAGAACAGATTAAAGTACAATCAAGTCTGAGGGAGCAGAATAATGGGTTTTCTGAGGCAGGCATGAACATTAAAAGGAAACAAAGTGGTTAAGACACTTTAACTTGGACAAAAAAATAATAATAATTAGGAGAAGTCACATATACATTTAACACCTCTGAACAGAGACACACAGCAGACCAGAGTTTGAGGGGAGAGACTCAAAGACAGATCAGTATGTAATAGATGCATTTGTTCCATATTTTATCTGTTCCTGGAAATGCAGATTAAAAATTCCCAGAAGCCTTTAAACCTCCTGGTTTCCTCAATAGCCCTCGGATTGGGGCCTCCTTGGAGTGCAAAAATATAGTTTTCTTTCTCTCTCTCCCTCTTCTTCCCTCCAGTTTAAGGAGGGTCTACTCCATCCGTCAAAGGTCCACGCTGCCGCGTTCAATCCTGAGACAGCATCATGATTTGATTGGTCAGGTTGATCTCTCAGACAGAGGGGACTGGACAGGATGAAAGCTTGAAGGGGATAGTCCACATCTAGGGTTGGTGGGCTGATGTCAGGACACATGGGAAATGAGTCTGACTCTTGTCTTGATGTCTTGGCGACACAGTGGGCACGTTTCCAGCTGTAAGGCACACTCCATACAAATCCCACTGAAGACAAGACAGAGAAACAGAAGTTGACTTAATTGTTCAGCACAAAGAGGTAACATAACAGTAAACAACAATGTTTAAATGCCCCATGAAATCACTTGACGAGCACAGTTTTCTCCCCTGTGTTGATGTATTTTCATATTTGAAACATATTAATAGGGATGCATGGCATCATTATTTCATTGCACATGCTTATTTCTTTTATTTAGATCACATTTGCAATCATCTAATACATTATCACTTAAGGTAATCTTTAAAAACACATACAATTTAATAACTGATAAATGTAATCTCTAATTTAGCAAATCTCAAAATAAATATGCATTTTTCATACTGTATGTGCCTATAATGCTGTGATTCCTAAAATCACTTGTATTTTAAAGATTTTAGTTTTTAGTGTTTTATTTTTACTTATTTAGACAAAAATATTATAGTTTGTTTATTTATGATTTAATGGCATGTCAACTGTTGCACTCTAGGCTTCTTATGTCACAGTTAAGGAACAATGATTGGCTACTTGCAACTGTGAAAGGCAATATAACAATAAATATCATGTTACTATGAGACTAATTCATAAAACACTGCAATGAGATTCTTAAAGGGGTGGTTCACTGTTTTTTTTCCTAGGCTTGATTGTGTTTATGGGGTGCAGTCTAACATGTGTTAATGCTTCGTTATTAAAAAAACACATTATTTTTCACATAATTCACCTTTATTCCACATCGCTCTGTCCCTTCTCTGAGAAAGGCGCTGATCATTTCCTGCTTTTATGAAGCCCCGCCCTCAGAAATAGGCGATGGGCTCTGATTGGTTAGCTGGCCCAGTGTGTTGTGATTGGCTCAACCGTCTCTAGTGTGCCGCCCCTCACCTCAGCTGCATGTGCTCCGGTTGTATTGTAAACAACGGCGTCATTAATATCGCTTATCAGTTTGAGCCCGATTGAGAAGCAGAGGATATTATTGAAGAGGATCGTGCAGAACCTGTGCAAGAACAGCTTTTAATGGTAGGCCTATGTTTTTTGTTTGTTGTTGTCTCATACTTTTAGATA